GGCAGGGAAGAGAGAAGGCACAAAGAAACAATGGTCAATGTGCTGGATATTTCTATGCCAAGTTGACACAAACTAAAGTCATCTGAGAGGAGGGGATCTAAACTAAGAAAATGCCTCCATAAGATCAGGCCGTGGGCAAGCCTGTAGGGCGTCTTAATTAGTGATCAATGGAGGAGGGTCCAGTACATTGTGGGTGGTTCTATCCCTGGGCTGTGGCCCTGGGTTCTAAAAGAAAGCAGGCTGAGCAAGCCATGAGGAGAAAGCCAGTAAGCAGCTCTCCTCTGTGGCCTCTGCAGCAGCTCCTGCCTGCAGGATCCTGCCCTGCCTGAGTTCCTGTCCTGACTTCCTTAGATGATTGTTATATTTGATTACACTGTGTAAAGATATGTCACTGTGATTGGTTTCATAAAGAGCTGAACGGCCAATAGCTAGTCAGGAGGTATAGGCAGGACTTCCGGGCACAGAAAGAGAGAACTCTAGGAAGTTGGTGGAGTTGCCAGCCAGATGCAGAGAAAGCTACAAGCCACGTGACAGCATGTAGATTAATAGAAATAGATTAATTTAAGTCATAAGAACTGGTTAGGAACTAGTTAGACCAAACTTTCATAATTAACAATAAGTCTCTCTGTCATGATTTGGGAGCCGACAGCCCAAAAGAGCCTGCTACAGATGATGAACAGTGATAAGGAAGCATAAACCAAATAACCTTTTCCTCCCCAGCTTGCTTCTGGTTTTGATATTTCATCACAGCAATAGAAACCCCAGTTAAGACAGCAGAGAGGAGAGTGATTTACCAGACAACCACAGTAGGACTGCCAGATAGTGTTGCAGCAGGCAATCATGAGTTCATAGAGAATCAACCCAACTTGCCTTGTAATGTGACCTTTTGGATTATTTATTTATTGTGTAAGTGTGTGAGTGTGTGGGGGTGCACATGGCAGGACATTTGTGGAGGTCAGAGGCCAATGCCAGGGAGTCAGCCCTCTCCTTCCACCTTTGTGCAGGTCCCAAGGATCTACATCCGTCACCAGGCTTGCGTGGCAAGCACTCCCATCTACTCAGCTAGCTCACCAACCCCATTGTATGGCCTTTTCTCTACAGCATTTGACTGCTGGCCCGCAAATACAGAGACACAGGATTGTGCCATTGGGATAGTGCTATGGAACTTGCTGGATTTTTCTGCATTCAATAAAACAGAGAAAGAGTTCCGGGTATTGATAATTACGCTACTATTATTAGTGTGAGGGACACAGTGGTTCTCAACCTTCCCAATGCTGTGGCCTCATGTTGTGGTGACCACCCCCCAGCCATAAAATTATTTTTGTTGGTACTTCATAACTGCGATTTTGCTACTGTTATGAACTGTAACATAACTGTTTTTGGAGAGGTTTACCAAGGGGGGTCGAAACTCACAGGTTGAGAACCCCTGGATAAAGACTCAGCTAGGAGAAAAGAAATGAGGGCAATGGAGGGTAAAGGTATAGGAGCTGATGAGAGAGAGGACTGAAGGTCATGATTAGTGTAAGGATTGAGGTGGCTGAATCCCTGAATAAACATATAATATGCACTAACCTGCACACACAATCAGAAACACAACACATGCCCTTTGGTTGGGATTGAGGTAGTCTGCAACAATAAAAAAAAAAGTTTCATCCATAAAAAACGCACAAAATGATATAATGACACGGTTTATTTCAACAAACTTTACAAAACTGTGATTTTTTTTGGTGGGAAAAAAGAAAAAAAATAAAACAAACAAAAAAAAACGCTGAATCTCTACATGCAGGGTTAGTTTGATTGACCATAATGTACTTTAACAAAATACATTAAGAAACACCATATCTAATGAAGCTTTTTACATACATGGTAGATGCTAAGTAATTTTGTTAAAAGACCAGACACTTGGAAAACAAAGTTGTAAAATAATTAAATACGTGTTTAAAATAGCATGAACTTTCTTCTCTTTACAAAAAAACAAAAAACAAAAAACAAAGCCAGCCCCACCCCCACCTTTCCTTTTTACATGTTTTCTTTAGCAGAATTAAGTCACAAATTTGAAGGACTACATACATCTTTTCCCTCTAGGCTCAGGAATATGAGATTCTCCTTCAGGCCCAGAACAGTTTAAAAGGGGGCAGACTGTTTAAAGAAAGGCAGTTAGAAATACAGACAATCTCACTTCTGAGTTGTTCACCCCAGGTTCTGCCTGAGCTGGCCACCAACTCTCTTCATTAGTTCCAAACATGATACTTGACTTTAGACCTAACTTGGCCTCAGTGCAGCCACCAAGAGCTTCTTTATCAATGAAGTGACATTGGGCTACCAGCTGAGCTGTGCGAAGTAACCCTGGAGAGTCTATGAGAATGACATACATCTACTTAAATATAATAATTCTGAGTATTAAATCACTTTTGAACCTGCACGTTTCTCCATGAACAAAAGATAAGGTGGCATCTGGACATGGTGTCGAACACCGATAGCCCCAGTATTTGGGGGCTGGAGCAGAAGGCTCAAGAGCGCACCCCAGGCCAGACTACATGATGAGAAGCGAACTAAAAGAAGGAAAATGAAATACAGTAAAGCAGTGAGAGAAGTATGATCTGGATATTTCAAAATGAGACAACTGTAACATGTTCACATAATGACATGTCTGGGAGTGGTTCAGACCAAAAAATAACTGCTTATTATTGAAATTGAGTCCTGCCTAAAGCTCTAGAATAAAGTCATCCAAGGTTCCTCCACACCACGTGACTCTACATGCTAAAACACGTATTTAAACTATCATTACCACAAAGTTGTTATCTTAAAATAAAAAAGCACAGTTCTATCATAAACTGAATTTCTTTGGAACACATTCTCTATAAAAAAGAGAGAGAGAAAAGCCATAAACTTAAATTTTCTTTACCTGTGAGATACTACAGACACCCGGTAACTTCCTGATTCTTCCATATCTAAGAATCAAAACACTAGGCATCAATAAATGTACAGCTTGGGGAATTCAAAGGGTATAGAATACTGACTGTAGTAATGTAACAGTATTGAAAAATTCAGTTTTTCAGTGTTAAGACTTCTTCCAAATGCAGTTTGATTACTGGTACTATTAATACGAATCTCGAGGAAGCACCTGACACTACTCACGAGGGAGATCTGGATTTAAACTTTGAGAATTTACACTGCTCAAACTGTTTTCTTTCTTTGGAGAGGATTAATGTTGAGACCTTTTGTATGACAGCAGATAAATACCTTGAAACATACTAGTACAATACCCCAGGCTCTTTGATATTTTGACCCTCTAAAGCATCATACACATTAATGCTGTGGGAATACATGGTACTTTAATAAAGGAATAGGCAAAATAAATCAGTGGATGAAATTTAGATGACGTGACAGCCTCAAAATCTTACATGTAAGGACAGTGGCTGAAATCTTGGCTGAGTTTTTCAGCTTCTCTGACCCCTTAACCCCTCTCTCTGGGTTTTACTAATAGCTGCTCTGTCATGCTTAGAAGGGTACTGGGTGACCACATGACCAGGGGGAAGTCAAAACATTAATTTCTGATAGCCTCTCTAAGGATGGATTCATGCCTTGCCTCTCTCGCATCCATTTAGAATTCCTAGTTTTGGTCAATAAGACAGTTGTAGAGCAAATGGAATAAAAAGATATATAGAGAGAGGAAACTGAATTTCAGCTTCCAGAATCTTATTTGTACTTCGTGTGTGCCATGTGAGTGTGCAAGTGTGTGCATGTGTGTGTCGTGTGAGTGTGCGCTGCTACGGTTTTTATGTGGGTGCTAGGGTAGGGGTCTGGGACTCGGCCCTCAGGTAGGGGCAGCAGGCACTTCACTGAGTAGGAAGCAGGGTTTGGCGGGGCTCAGGCTTCCTCTTGATGCTTTCTGGAAATGAAGAGGTGCACAGAGCCCAGGTGCACTCTGGCTCCTGGACTTCCCTGAATCTTTCCTAAAGACTGCCGTCTCCCTCACTGTCTTACTGTGCAGCACGCACTAAAAAACACTCCATTGTAACACTGTAAAGAGATCTGAGTGTAAAGACAAACAGATGGAGTCAGTCTTACATAGACAGCTTTCTCAGCGTGGCATACATCTGAACTGGCTCAGTAACCCCGGCCTGCACCCCTTTTCTCCACTTTCG